ACTTCAAGAACAGTTTCCCGTCTAAAAATCTGTTTTCTGCATTATTCGCTTGCTTGTTACGCACAAGTCTACCGTTGTTTACAGCGCTGTTGGCCGCTGTTTTTTTCCCTTTAATTACTTCCGAAAAGAAAACCTCATTTCTGCTGTTCAATAGGCTACTGAACAAATTTAAACTTTTTTAAATTATGCAAAATGCAAAACGCTTAGCCGTGTCTCTAATAAAACCGCTGTAACTTCAGAGGTAATGTTCATAAGTTGATTAATGGTTTTCTTTCGTTTTTGATGTACTGCAGAATATTTTTATAAAATCCCAGGCCAGGAAAATCACCTTCATATTTTTCTGTTTTATCTTCAGCTGCTTTGACATAAAGGCATCTGCTGTGATGCTCAAACCTTTGATAAAGTCTTGCGAGTGTCAGCTTCCTTTTTATAGATACAAAATATGTAAATGTGAATTATAATATTTCTGACTGTCTGAGGCTAAATTTCCCAGATTCACATTGAATTGAATTGAATCGGAATCGAATCGATTCTAGAAATCAGTGATGATACCCAGCCCTAGTTCTGATCATTTATCAGTGTGTGTGTGTATATATATATATACACATATATTATTTAGTTGACATGTATAAAAACAAAGCTGACAATTGTGAGACTGCATCAGAGGTGGAAGCATCACAGCAGCGATGCAGTCAAAGTAACTGAGGGTAAAACAGAAAAATATGAAGGAGATTTTCCTCACCTGGCTTCTTCCTGGTTATGGCTTTATAGCACATAACCTTTAATACAGTGGATTAAAAAATGAAGAAAATCATGAACCAACATAGAGTGGCTTGCAAAAGTATTCGGCCCCCTTGAACTTTTCCACATTTTGTCACATTACAGCCACAAACATGAATCAATTTTATTGGAATTCCACGTGAAAGACCAACACAAAGTGGTGCATATGTGAGAAGTGGAACGAACATCATACATGATTCCAAACATGTTTTACAAATAAATAACTGAAAAGTGTATGAACTGTATGAACATTACCTGATGCTGCTGAAGTGAAGCAGAGCAAAGTTAGAGAGGTTTTATTAGAGACACAGCTAAGCATTTTGCAATTTGGCATCATTTGTAAAAGCTTAAATTTCTTTGGTATTGAACAGCAGAAATCGGGCTTTCTTACCGACGGTCATTTTTGGAAAAAACAAATAAATAAAATTTAAAAACAGCGGCCGACAGCACTGTAAACAAGGGCAGACTGGCGTATAATAAGCAAGCGAATAATGCTGATACTTGAGATGGGAAACTGGTCTTTAAGTACACTGAGAGAGAGAGAGAGAGAGAGAGAGAGCTGTGCAGGAAGTGTGATTTTTATCGTGCTGGGAGCAAAACAGCAAAGGTAAGAGGGAATTAATGACGATGTTTCTCTAATGTGATACGTAGTTTGGATCTTCTTTTGCTGCCAGTGAATTTTGGTGTGACGAAACCTGCAGCTTCACAGTCTGTGAGATATCGGCTTTCAGCACCCGATGACATGCACAGGTACATACTGTCGAGTGACCGATCTGCGCTCTGTGTTTACATCTTTCTGTGGAATCAGTTTACCTGCTTTTTAACAGTTTGGTGTTAACAGTTAACAGTTCTGGCATTTCTGGCAAAATACATTTATATTTAAAAATTGATTCAAGATTTAATAAATCGATATCGTGTTATTCAAAGTAAAATCATGAGAATTGTCTTCGAGGCATTAAATATGTCAGTAAGCATGTTTAATAATTTTCCCAGTTATTTCTCCTTATTACACATAATTTCTGAACATCTGTGGTTTAATTTCTTTGCATGTTTTGATTGAATGGGTTGTTGCCGAATTTGATCTCAATAACACCTTTAGAAATATATTTATTTAGAAAATTTGTGTCGTGTTCAATACTTATTTTACCCGCTGCATATAGGGAGAACTTCACACAATTGAAAAAGTGTTGTGCTTCATTTCTATTATAAAAAATATTTAACAATTGTTTTTCTCAGCCAAATGTGTGAAACGATTATCTTAGAATATAAATAGATTTACACATTTTAAATTATCTGTTATCTAAATGATCCATTTATACTACTTGACAACAAAGTATAACAGAAAATTCTGTTAATCTTTAGAATTTTTCTCCCTGTAATTCAATGATATATAATGTAACACTAAAGTAACTACAGTATGTCAAAAAAACATTACTATACTTAAATAAATATTATCAAAAGTAAATTATAACAATTAATGCATCAGTTGTTTCTTCTTTTTATCCTGTATAATAGAGACATACTGTAGCTTTATAATGTTAAGTGTCATGGTGAAGTTGCTGAGAATGTGAAAAGTGGAAACCACTCTGTCTTTTTCTAAATGCATGTATATATAATATCTGCGGTGTTTGTACACATCACACAGCATCTGTATTTATTTACAAAAAATATTTAAATATATGAAAACTGTAAGTACAAATCAAATGCAAACATGTATATGTAATTCCTGCAGATGGTGGATGTGTGACAGCCAGAAACAGCTCTGGTGTCGAGGTGTAACTGCAGATATAAATCAAATATAAGGGTACACAATACCTGTTAGTGAGAGAAGGAAGAGAACAAATCCACTGGCTGCTGCACTTAAACTCATAGCTGCTCCTCTCATTTCTTAATTCACACCAACATGACAAATACTGTGTGCCAGCTAGTCTTCATCAGACGCTGAGGATGTAGTCTTTGATGGCAGCGTCTTCTGTGGTTGGAAAATATAAAAGTGATATTAGACTGTCTTCCTTCCGCAGTACATGCTCAACATGCGTAAACAGATGAAATCTGGTAAACCTCCACTCGAACCCTAATGAAGTGAAGAAGTGCTCCTTATACAGTGGTTTACATGTAAGATTAACTTCTTAACGGACAAATTTGGCATATAGTGCCTTTAAAAAGTATTTATACCCCTTCAACTTTAACATTTTGCCACCTTGCAACCAAAAACTTCAATGTTTTTATTGAGAGTTTCTGTGACAAACCAACACAAAGTAGCACATAATTGTGAACTGGTATGAAAACGATACATAGTTTTCAAAATTTTAAGTAAATAGAAATCTGAAAAGTGTGGTGTGTATTTGTATTCATGCTCTTGAATTCTGATACACCTTAAGTAAAATCCAGTGGAATCAAGATCTGAACATCTGAAGGAGTACTGTTCCATCATCCAAAAATGGATAAAGTACGCTACAACTGCAAACCTACCAAGACATGGCCGTCCACCTAAACTGACAGACCGAGCAAGGACAGCACTGGTCACTCTGGAGGAGAAATCCACAGCTCAGGTGGGAGAATGTGTCCACATGTCAACTGTAAGTCGTGTCCTCCACAAATCTGGACTATAAGGAAGAGCGGCAGGAACAAAGCCATTGTTGACAGACAGGCATATAAAGTCCTGTTTGCAGTTTGCCAGCAGCCATGTAGGGGACACAGCAAACATGTGGAAGAAGGTGCTGTGTTAAGACGAGCCTAAGTTGAACTTTTGGCCCTAAATGCAAAACGCTATGTGTGGCAGAAAAGTAACACTGCTCATCACCATGAACACACCATCCCACTGTGAAACATGGTGGTGGCAGCATCATGCTGTGGGGACGCTTTTCTTCAGCAGCGACAGGGAAGCTGGTCAGAGTTGATGGAAAGATGGATGGAGCTAAATACTGGGCAATCCTGGAAGAAAACCCGCTGGAGGCTGTAAAGCACTTGAGACTGGGAGGAAGATTCACCCTCCAGCAAGACAATGTCATACCACTTCACATGTGCTACTTTGTGTTGGTCTATCACACAAAGTCTAAATAAATAAAAAAACACACGTTTTTGGTTATGAGGTGAAAAACGTTACTTTTCAGTGCCTTAAAAAAGGCACTGTATTTCAATCACTCTTTGCTCATACAATTACCGCAAAATGTGTTAACAACACCATGAACAGATTTACTGTAAAGCTGCAGATTTAATGCGGGTTTAAAGAGAGCTGAGAGGAAATCTTTACCACAAAATATCTCTTAGATAAAAAGAACAGGTGAGGGAAATACAGCTGAAGAGGTCTGGTAGCCTTTCTGTTAAAATGATAGCTGTAGCTTAACAGTGCTGAGTGAGCTTTCCTGTAATCACCTCTAAGAGTCCGACGACAAAAGCAACCTGCAGTAGTTCACATACTGAAATACACAATGTATTTAATGAAAGCAATTTGAATTTCCAGCTCTTGTCTCATGTCCAGAGTGTTTACATTGAAACTAGTATCACATTTCTAATATTACAAAATACCATGGATGTCAAAATAAATATATATGGTGTGCGGCCTGAAAGATTCAAATACTTCGAGACTAAGAAGGGTTCTATTTCTTCACATCTTGGCAAGATAACTGAAGATGCTAATTTTGGAGCAGATGGGCTGATAAAAGCATTGTATCTACAGTAGTTTTAAAATCATGATCTGATTCAAAAACTGGAAAAGAAATCCATATTTAATCCTGTTTTTTACACTATGCCATCTAAGACAGATATTTTTGCACTATCATACATGTGGCTACATTTCTGAGTGTACAACTGTATGCAACCCATTATGCATATAACTGCATGCCGGTTTTGCAAAGGTGGCCCAGGTTTTAAAGGATTGTCTTGTGATGTACTGTTTTTAAGTTACAAATTACTCTTATTTATTTTCCTTTTTTAATTTTTAACCCATATATTTTCCAGAAAAATGGCAAAGAAAGAATGTAAGTAAGGGTGTGATTTTTGGGCTGCAGCCCTGTTCTATTACAGATTTATTATGTGACAAGTGGGGCTGAACAAGACTTTAAATATAATTTTGTATTAGATAATTACTAAGTATTTATCTAAAAAACATTTAGACTTATTAATGCATCTTTTGTAATTAATGGAAATATGTAGTCATATCTACCCGTGCTTTGTCGATCAGGCACTGATACCGATCAGTGTTAAACAGTTGAATTTTTTGTAACTTCCTAGTTTTAAATGTGGTACATTTCAAGTTTTTTCAGTCTTGGTATAATATGTCATATTTTATACTACACACCAACCTATTATGGTCTTTGGTATGTAATTGCTACATATAGAGCATGAAATGCTGGTTTGGCTGCAGTGGTGTAAGCACAGATTTGGTGTCCCATGCAAAAATAAATATATATAAAACTTTAGGCCCCACCACATTAATACTGTAAACCATGCCAGCTCTGAAAATATAACACTGCGCAGACCTGGATCAATATTCTCATAAATAGATTAAATAGATAATATAAATAGATTTTATAATGTTGTGCAAGACTTGATGAGATATGTAGAAAAAACTTTTTACATTTTAATATTGTTTAAAATTCTAGTATTTTAAGTATTTTTTACTGCTTGAACATTTGTATTTATAATACTACATATTGGCAAACGTGAAAAATCCTTTGAATTTCAGTTTTCAAGCAAAGTATAGCAAACTAATATGTCTGTCCTGAGACCTATAAAGCAAAGGTTTTAATCTGATTTAGCTCACTGAAAACTCTGATCACCTGTAACAAACAGTACTTCTCTCTTTATGTAGGCTATGACGATAAAAAATTCCTAAGGTGCCCCCTTAGAGACACATTTTGGCATAAAAGAACTCACCTGCTTATGTACAAAGGTTCTGCCTCCAATTACAAGTTGGCTAAAACAACCAACACATTATTTTCTGTCAGAAATGAAGCAAGCTGACTAAAACTAGGAAAGTCCATCAAGTTAATTTCTGCCTGTCTCTTTTTTTCTTTTTCGAAACTCAGACTTTACTGATAACAGAGACATCCTACTGCAGCGCTATCTCTGTATCGCTAAGAGCGCGTGCACATGGACCAAACCAAATCATGAAATAAGGAGGGGGAGGCGGGGTCAGAGGCTGACTGAATTATAGTCTTTGGTGTCAGAAACAAACAAAACTAATGCTAGAAAACGAACACGTTTATAAGTACCTTGTGAAGCAAACCGTATTTTATGGTGATAAAGTTTATGATTTCATAACAAAAACAAATAAATGAAATGATATGTATGAACTATTTGACTATTCCCTTCATAGAATCGTCATAACTTCTCTCCTCTAAGGAAATCCTCTCTTAATTGATTTCACTTGCAGACTTAAAAAAGACGTACAACCGACCTGGTGACATCATCACTGGGAACGTGCTCCTGGTTTTGATATGACTGTGACAATTTTTAATTTATTGTTATTTTATTGTTTTAATTGTAACATGTTTGTCTGAAGCGGGTCTCCCTTGTAAATGACTTACTGAGTCTCGATTGAGCTACCTGTATAAATAAAGGTTAAATAAAAAATAAAAAAGTAATTGAGTTAACTAATGAGGTTGCTTTGTCTGCTTTGGCCAATAGTGGTCACTGCATGACATGTGCATTACATGTGCAATGCATCTTTTGTCAGTCATCTTTTGTTGACTTTTGAAGACTGGCATATCCTATTTAATACGTGCGTGGTTTTCTTGATTGATTGATTGATTGATTGATTGATTGATTGATTGATTGATTGATTAGGAAAGCTTTTAGAAAACTTTGTTGGCTGCAGTTCTTCTTTGCTCTTTCAATGTTGGGATAAATTCTCTTTCCACATTCGAGTGAATCCAGGCTGCAAATATATAATCAAAAATGGACAGGTCAGCAGGGTGTTTTGTTTTTGTTCTGCAGATCTATATGACTGAGTTTTGTGCGATACCTGTGATTCACTGGGCAGGTTTAAATACTCACTGTAATGATTTCTTATCTGCAGTACCACGCTGAGACACAACACAGGAGGTCTTGGTGCATTATCCTCCACACCTGCAGGTGGTGGTGGTCCAAGTTTATTCTCCTCAGCAAGAGAAGTGAGTAGATTTGTAATCAGTAGAGTGTAGGATATGCACAGCATGACAGTATGGAAGATTCAAGTAATAATATGAGCCAGGTTTTGTTGACTTTGGAGTGCAGTGCAGATGAATTATGAACTTTTTATTTTTGTAGACAGAAAAAGAGAGGAGATGATATCATTGCCATTAATACACAGACACATGTTATAAGAAAATCAGAAAGTGTCAAAAAGAATTTGTAATATTTCTATGTGAGATGCTCCTGAACTGAGGGCTGTGCTGCATCTGTTAAATTTAACAGCAGAGTACTCATTGACGGGTGGCTGGCCTCTCCTATAGAGATACAGTGATGAATTTATTCCTCCGAGAGAGGCTCCGAGTAGAGCCGCTGCTCCTCCACCTTGAAAGGAGGCAGTTTAGGTACTTTAGGCATCTGACAAGGATGCCTCATGGGTCAGGTATTTCGGCCATTTCCCACTGTAAGGACAGAACGACAGATGGATACACTGAAGGAGGTGGCTGGGAAGAGGAGAAGGGTTTGGTCAAGGTCACGTGTTTCCGCTTGCTGTGGAGCTCCACAGTGGCTGCAGCCAGGTGCTCTTGGGGAAGGAGGAGGTCTGTGTGTCCTTTAGCTGTTGTTCCTTTAGCTCTTCCTATTCAAGGCTCGTGCAGGATGGAAACATTTGTCTTGGCTACTTGACAAATAATAAAATGTATTTACATTAATACCAAAGACAGACCACAAACAATTTCTCAGTCAGCTCATCCCTTTACATAATTATTCTCAGGAATGAAAACACCAGCAGTATACGTCAGCAGTATTTATCTGAATGAAAAAATAAAGCAGGAATCAACACGTGTTCATATTTTACCACCAAGCAGTGTGGAAACTGCTGAGTTACAGTGCTTCACACCAAAACTAGTTCAGAATATTAAATAATTTCACTAAATCAAAAAATTTAAATTAAAAAGTTTTCAGGAAGTTTCAGAAATAAAGCTGCTGTTTAAGTTTAGCCTCATCTATGAAAAACTGCATTTGATCCTCAGCCAAACCGCACAGTCCATGAAAAAATCCTCCACAGAGGCAGAGACCGTGCTCCTTAACTTTTCTCTTTCTAACGTCTGGATTAAACACCATCTAAACAACATGAGTTTCAGTCTGTTTCTTTTATACGCAAGTCTCTAACATGACTGGACTTCACTGCAGCTCTTCCTGCTCTTCAGTGTCGTCTGCAGTGATGCCCTGTGAGGCTGAGACGTTCTCATAATCAGCACGAGTGTTTACCTGATGGAGAGAGAGCGAGAGAGCTTTCTGTATGTTTTTGATAACATTCAAAACTAAATACTTTAGTAATACTTAAAGAACTTCACATTATCCTACCTAATTTTATTTACATTTATTTTTGGATCACTTATTTTTCTATTCTAGTGCAATAGAAACTATCATACTACATCATAACACATGTTGTATCAGTAGAACCTCTTACTCTGATGACATTTACAGATTCATTTGGTCCAATTTCTAAATCCACATGTGTCTTCTTCCTGGATTTAATCCACCAAAAAGAAAACGGTATTAAACTAAAAAGAATTCATGACTTTAAAACTGAAGGTTTTAAGATGGACATAAAAGAGCAATTATGACACTGTTGTTACTGTTTTTCTTTCTTTTTAAAAAGAAATGTGTTACCTCATCCACAGACCCAACACGAAGAGAGCAATCAGCATCAGGACCACCAGAGTCAATCTGATGATATTCAATATTATTACAGATTTTCCTATAAATTGAGAAAAGCACAAAGGAGATATGTCTTAGTCGAGAGATTAGATTTATAGGGTCATGCTATTTGTCATTGGGTATCATCAGTAACTGCTGTCACTAAGTTTACTCTCTTAACACAACTGCAGAAAGTTAAACATTTTTATATTTTCTTTGCACTGGTTAGAATATACACTACCAGTCAAAAGTTTGGAGACACCTTCTCATTTAATGTTTTTTCTTTCTTTTCATGACTATTTAATTGTAGATTCTCACTGAAAGAATCAAACTATGAACGAACACATATGGAATTATGTAGTAAACGAAAAGTGTGAAATAACTCAAAACATGTTTATGTTATAGATTCCTCAAAATTGCCACCCTTTGCTTTGATTACTGCTTTGCACACTCAGTTCACAGTAACAAAACTCCCACTGTGTTCAGGTCTGAAGTCAGTGATGGTGAAGTTGTGTCCTGATGCTTTTTCTGAGTCTTCATCCTCCTTGTACCAGGTGTAATTAGCTGTTGGGTTAGCATCACTGCTATAGGTGACTGAACCGCCCTCCACTATTTCACCAGAGGGACTCACTGACACAGAGGGAAGCATTGGAGCATCTAGAACAGAGAATATTAAGATTAGATGATTAATAAGAGATCACATTTGATCATAATATACTGTCTATTTTTCATAGATAGCATCATGCTCCCTGTGTCCTCACTGGTCTGACCTGTGATGTCTACTTATCCCTCCACTCCTGGAGTTGATTCTTTGTGCAGTGTCAGACTTTAAGGAGAGTTCCCGCTTCTTGGCTTCACACACCTGCCTTTAATGATCTTGTCAAGAGCCAATATTTATAAGAGTGATGAACTGTATCATTGAATGAAAAACGGAAACCATCTGAGTCCCGCGTTTCGCCTATGGTGGCCAACCTGACATAGACTTTTATCCTTACTGTTCAAATTATTTCTATTTCTTATCTAAAGCTGTTGTCAACACATTTCCCTCAGTATCTTTTCAGTCCATCACACCCTCAGTTATGGGGACTGACAAGCTTTTAATTACTGCTCAGATCTGTTATCCTCATTATATTAAGTTCATGCTTCTTTTCATGGACAGACCTTTGTAGACAGTCAGAAACAGCTGATGTACACCTGTTCTTCACAATTCACACATCTCTGCTTATTACACACTCTAAGGTAAGTCTTTAAGTAGATATTCTTGTTAAATCTTACACATGTTGTTCAGGGTACTGCTGTCTTTCATTAAATTATTTGCTTCCGTCGCCACATGGCAGTCTACAGGTGATGATAGGAACTGATCTTTCATGTTCTCTGATCAGGATCAAACCACTCTTCAGCACAAAGACTATTATTTTGGACTTTAACTCAGTATCTGACTCAGATTCATGAACCTGGCTCAATTCACCTTTAAACTGGTTGTACAGTAAAACACTAAAAGAATTTAAAATACATTATAGTATCTTGAATTCCACTGCACATCTTAAACAACATTTTGGTGAAAAAAGAAAGCTGAAGATCTGAAAACACAAAATTGTTCATGATCATCGCATAACACAGTGAAGTAAACTTACACAAAGGATCTGAGCGATAATCTTCATGTCCTTTGAAAGCACAGGAGATGATGTCTCCAGGATTGAACAGATCTTGATAAGAACTTTGTTCAACCATAAACTGATTGATTTTGAACCAGACAAAAGAAAGACGACCAGCTGGACTGCAGCTGCTTTCACACTTCAGCTCTGCCTCAGTCTGAGACTCATGGACTGATATTATTCTGCTCACCTTCACCTGCAGATCTGAATATGACAAACTCAGCAGACATCAGACTTAAATACTCAAAACAATAAATACACCCATTAACACAACAAAGCAACTGAGCTGATTAAATATCCATCAGTGTGTGTTGATCAGTACCTGTGACAGTCAGAGTTGTTCCAGGTAAACTACTCTTCCATTCAAATCTTTGTGTTTTGAATTTGAAGTGATACTCGGCTGAATCACTCTCTGTCAGGTCTCTGATTCTCAGAGTGGAGCGCCCTCGCTCTGTTTCAGTCACCTGAACACGACCTGCATACTGGGAGTCTTCTGTGAGGTCCTCAGATCCACGACCAGAACGGAACCAGGACTTTGATTGGATTGGACTTTCATAACCGTTGTAAGTACAAGAAATGTCCACTGATGAGCCTTTGACTGCACAGATTCTTCTGTTGCTGTAATTCACTCTGTTGCATGAATCACCTCGGACACCTGAAACATAAAATGATATTTAAGTCAGATTTAGAAAGTAGTTACTGTGAGTTTGACTGTTTTTATTCAGATGTATGTAATGACTCTATGAGATGGTTTTATGTTACTGAAATAAACTCACACACTGAAGGAGAGGAGAAATCTCTTACAGAACAGGAGTAGCTATCTGAAGGATTCAGATTGGCTGAATACCGATACTGGTTTCTACTAGAAATCTTGTGTCCATTTTTGTACCAGATGTAGGAGGGACGATAATTTAGTCGACAACTGCTCTGACAAGTCAGTGTTGCTGAGTCAGAATATGATGATGTGTCCACGTGTACCTGAATGGCTGATTATGTGAAGAAATAAAATCAAAGCAGAAACATAGACATCTATTATCCATATCCAAACACACACAGTCATGTTCATAACAATTTCTGACTGATGTGTAATTAAAAATTTTACCTGTGACAGTCAGAGTGACTCCAGGTAAACCAGTAAAATCTGCCCGGTCTGTTTCAAACCTGAACTTGTACACAGCTGAGTCGCTCTCTCTCAGGTCTCTGATTGTCAGAGTGCAGCTCTTCCAGTCAGAACTGTACGACACTCGACCTGCATACACTGGGTCTGTTTTCAGATCTTCAGGGTTATAATTGTTCCCTTTAGTGAACCAAACTCTTTTTAACACATTTACTCTTGAAGGGTGTTTGAAGGAGCAGCTTATGTCCACTGTTGATCCTTTTACAGCACAGATCTGAGTAGAAGTGTAAGTCACTGCATAATCATTCTGACTCTGTACCACTGTAACACAGAACACATCAGAACACAGTCAGACTCATTACAACAACAATAAACAGTTTTACTTGTAGTTGAACTACATGCAGAGAGAAATTCGGATTCTGACATTCGGACCAAGCGCACTTCATCACAATAGAAAAAATGAAGTTGTGCTTCATTTCTGTTTTACAAAATATTTAACAACTGTTGTTCTCAGCCAAATGTCTGAAATGTCTGTCTTCAGAACATTAATAGATAAAGATCAGCTTTCCACATATTAAATTATTATAGAAATTGTCCAGTTAGGTACAACCTATTTATATCTACCGATAGATGTAGATATATAGATGTATATAGAGATATAGAGAGAGATGTACTGGGTCTACAAAAATAAATCCCTTATGTATTGTAATTTTACATTAAAAAGTAACTCCTGCAGATACTGAATGTGTGAAAACCAGGTACACATAAACCTGTTAGAGAGAGAAGGAAGAGGACCAATCCACTCGCTGCTGCACTTAAACTCATCGCTTCTTCTCTCGCTTCTTAAATCACATCAACATGACACATACTGTTTTCCAGTTAGTCTCCATCAGTTGTTGAGGATGTAGTCTTTGATAAAAGGGTCTTCTGTGGTTAGAAAATATAAAAGAAATATTAGACTGTCTTCCTTCAACTGGACATGATCAACATGCATAAACAGATGAGAGCCTCTAAACTCCCACACTGAAATGAAGAAGTGGTTGTTATACAGTGGTTTACATGCAGAATAGCTTCTTAAAATACAAATATGGAATATTTTTAATCAGTTTTAAAATCGTACGGTTCCGGGCCAGTTTATTACCAGGATCATAAATAGATTTTCTCTCATGTACATTAAGTTTTAATGTAGGTTTTCTTTGCAAAGTGAGTGTGAAGCTCTCTTTTGAGAGGGCTGAGAGCAAATCTTTAACACACAATGTCTCCTGGATAAAAAGAACAGGTGACTCGGGTAATGATGAACAAAACCGTTTTTGACCAGGTTAAGTTTCAATGCACGTATTAAACCTATTGTATGACTGCTATCTTCTATTGCCCAATATTTCTAAAATTAGAAACATCCCGTCTCAGAGTGACACTGAAAAACTAGTAAATGCATTTATTACTTCTAGGCTGGACTACTGTAATTCATCCAAAAATGTCAAGAATCAAGCAAGTAAATAAGTGCATCAGCAGTCATGTGCTCAGCACTAAAGGAGCTGCTGCAGAGAACCACAGTTGTGCGTCAATGAACCTGTAAGC